CTGTGCCAATTAATTATTGGATGCTTTTCGGTCTCCTGAATGCATCCAACCTATTAGCCAAAGGACAGGCAGAACAGTGCTTTGCTTGCTGTTATTGGGCTCAACTCCACCACACTCAGCAGAGCAGCACCTGTATCCACGAGCTGAGGTCTCTGTATCCCTCTTACAAGCAGTCCCACTAAACCTCTACTTTTAACCAGGTTTCAGAAAACCCATAGGTTCCCATCCAGCACGCCTTTGCCCTGGGGCCCTGTGTGCGGAGCCATGGCGAGCTGTCATTCACTGGTTGTTTTGGATGAGAAGATGCAAGGAGATCCGCTGGACCTGAAAATGTTCGAGGCCACACACTGGGTAATGCGACTCCTCTTCCCTGCTCACGTCCAAACCACAGACATCTCCAACCTTGCCCACAGGGGGTCACTCTTAAGTCAAGCTCAAATACCTGCCTATAGGGGAAACTCCTTTTCGGTGCTGCTTGTAACAGCCCTGCGCTACTCCAGGCACAGCTGGAATTGGCTTTGTTATTTCTAGTAACTGTGTGACAGGTTTGCAGCACTGCAGCTGCTTTTTGGTAGTCCAGCAATTGCTTTCCTTGAGGCTGCTTGCGTTTGCTCTCTTAGTTCGATTTGCAAAGAGCAAAGTAAGGAAGCAGAGGGGGAGCCTGGTCCCGGCTTGCTGGAAGCAGGAGCTTGGACCCCAGCATGGCCGCATGGTGTGGTGTGGGGACAGCAAGCAGCTGAGGGAGTGCACAAGCAGGTTTTGCATGCCCTTATGCTGAGGGCTGTTTCCTCCGATTAGCAAAGCAAAGCTTCTGCATAGAAAGCAAGGCTGGAGCTGCATAAGCAGCAATTCCCTGAGAGGAAATTCCCTTGAGGCTACCTCCAGGATTGTGGAGGGAGCAGGATGGGAGCTAGAAGCATGAGAAGGAAAGGGGTTGCTCTTCACAGACTGTCACGGCTCCCTGTGAGCTTCCGGGTGGCACTGCAGGAGGAGGCAAGGAGGGGTGACTGTGCTGAGGCCGTGCCCAAGAGATGGTGGTAGAAGTGTGGCTCTGCCAGCCTGGTGCAATGCCTGCACTCCTGCAGGAAGCGCTGGGGCATCTGCAAGCCTCCTTAAAATCCCCTTGGCTGCTGTGCCGAGCTCGTCCCGGGAGAAAACTGGTGGAAGACCTGAGGCAGCAAGGCCGTGCTCGTCTTTCCTTGCTGTCAGGCAGGAGATGCAGTGAGCTGGCCCTGCCTTGCCTCCCTCCCACCTTCCAGCTGTGTCCTAAGCCAGAGAGGGTCTTGGGGCATTGCAGTTAAATGCCTCATCATCTTTTCTCCTCCAATGTTTTGCTCAATAAGCAAAACAGATGGCAGGTCCTTCAGCAGCCCTGCGGGGTAGGCACCAGCCCAGTACTCACTCTTATGGAAAAACAGGCAGCAGCAGAGTTGCATGCCAGCAGAAGAGGACTATGAGGGTGAATGAGCCTTAGCACATGAAAAGTAACAGAACTGGAGGGCTAAGCATCCTACAGCTAAAATTGCTTCTGCACAGTACATCAGTGAGTCTTTTAAAAGGCAAGAACCTAGAAAATAATTTTTGGCTAGATAAGGATAATTTTTTCTTTCCCTTGGTCATTGAGCTGTCCAGGCATTAAGTTTATGTGGAACTAGAGTTTAGGGAAACCACAACATTTCACACTTTTTTTTTTTTTTCTCTCCACTCTCAGTAAGGCAAAACATGCAGGGCCATGTGGGCTTCTGCTAAGGACAAGGCTGCATGGAGGCTGTCACTTGTGATGGATGGAAAGCTGTATTAGATTACAATAAACCATTTCTACAGCTTGCTGCCAACAGTAAGGAGGAAACATGCCCCCATGTACTGCTGTTCCTGCTTTTAACAGACAGATGTGAAGCTTAAAATAAATAAAACCATAAATGTGCAGAGAACAAAAATGAACTGATGAAAATTTGAGGGTGGAAATTACTCTTTGCAGCACAGATGAAAGATAAGGTTTCCTTAGCGAGCTCTGTGAACCTGGGGGTGGCCCAGCAGCTAACTGCTTCGTTGCCAGGTCCCCAGTGGATGCCGGCACCCTGAGATAGCACCAATGTTGTTTTTCTTTTACAGGAAATAGAAGATTGCAGTACAGCTCAAGATGGGGCTGGTACTCTCGACGCTTGCATAGTTAGACCTGGACCGAAGGCCAACGCAGTGAGTTGAATTCTTTCTGCGAGAGAATATTCTGTGTTTTTAACATACAGCACCTGTGATGTCCTAGTACATGTAATATTCATTTACCTTGGCTAGAGGCTGGAAAACCCCTCTCAACTACTCTTTTGGTGCTGTATTGTGTCTTCCCCAAAGCAGGCCAGCTGGAAGCTTAGGCCCGGGAAAGCAAATTCTGTTTAAACTGAGCCAGGCCTTTCAGCCGGCCTCTTAGGGGCTGCAGAGAGAGGGAGAAAGGGCAGCAAAGCTACCTCTCCCAAGAGTCAACTAAAACTGACAAACAAGCATTAAAAAGAAAAAAAAAATCAAGACCAAGAAGGAAGAAAATGCTGGTAAAATACTGGAGACTAACAAGAACAAGGTAAGCCGTAAGGAAAGTGCAGAAGAAGCAGAAGAACGAGCAGTGATGTGGAAGAAGGGCTGCAGCAACAGCCACTGGTAGCAGCAGAGCCTTGTTTATCTCTCCCAGGCAGGAGAAAGGCATTAAGGCAAGAAATACCTAGTAGAGGGGGAAAGAAAGGCCTTCTGGTGGTGGACTCTAAAAGAGAAGCGAACTGAAGGGCTCAGGTGCCTAAAAACTCATCGTTTCCAACTCTACCACTTGCACTAATAAAAAATATTGACTTATCTTATTTCTAGGATTGCTCTGCTCCCTTGGTATTGTCACTGTAACACATCAAATGTCAGCTTCTGTGTTTGTAACTCCAGGAATCAATACATGGTTAGAGAAACACTGAGACAAAGCCTTGAAAACACGTTAAGTATAAAGAGCAGCACGGAGGCCTCTGGGAAGCATTGCTGGGAAGCCACATGTCTCAAGGCTTTGGTTCTTAAACTTGCAATCAGTGATCTGATCCCACAGGCAGAAAGCAGCAAAAATGAAGAAATCGCCTCAGCTAGAAAAACCCAAACAAGCAAAAGCTCAGGATGGGTTTGCTTTGTGTAATCAGTAAATCAAGCTGCAAATAACAGCTCTTTTCCCTAACCTCTTTCCAGGCTCCTGTGGAAGGAATAACAATCCTACATCAATTCCCATTTTCTTCAGCGTTGCAGAGGATGTCTGTTGTTACGCAGCAAATTGGAAAGGAACAGTATGACCTGTACATGAAGGGAGCACCAGAAACAGTGACCAGCTTTTGCAGACAAGAAACTGGTATAGAATTGGGAAAGGGCAACTTTGAAGTTTTTATTTGCACTCATTCCAAAGCAGAGTTTCTCTTGGGACCGTAATCCTGAAAGGTTTTCGGTACTCTTTTCCAACTGGCCCCACTGCAAGTGCGCATGTGCAGCTCTTTCCACAAACAAGCCTTTGGATCAATGCAATAGTTAAAAGTCCCTAGTTAATAGCACACATACAAAGAAATTAATTGCTTGTTTGTAAGGTCGAGATACACATGGCCCAGCGGCTAGCGAGATGTACAGACTAAGGTTCAGCCACTGTACAGCCCTGGGATGATTTGCACCAGCAGAAGCTATAGCTCACAAATGATGCAGATATGTCAAAACACCCAGAGTAGGTGTAGGATCTTGGTAATTGCACTTGTCATAGCAAGTCCGATGTTGCATACACATTCTTAATTTTTCTGTTAATTTACTGACCTGTGAATTCAGCACTGAGTTACTGCCGCAGCTTGCAAAGGCTTTAAATCACAGTGATAGGAAACTTGCTGTGGACATGCAAATTACTGTTATTAGGGATAATTACCATTAGCACTCCAGCCAAGACTTCTGTCCTCCCTCAGCAGACAAACAGAGCCTTTTCTTTTTTTTGCGTTTTAGCAATATTACAGGTCTATTCTCAAATTTGTCTGCAAACTTGAAACTTGAGTCACGTTTGCCTGAATGCTTCAGAAGGATGCCAAGCAAACACAGTACCGATGATCTGTGGCTCTGTGGCTTGTTATTTCAAATGCAATGACCTGAGAACAGGTGAAAATGGTTTTGAGGGAGAATGGGAAGATTAAGTTTAATACCATCTAATGACACAAACCTCCAAACAATTCACAGTTAGCAAGAAAAACTTGTTTAAAATGAAGTTATATTCTACTTTCTTCGGTGTCTAAATGTCTCCTCTTATCCTGTCTTAATTATTTCTATATTGATTACAGCTTAATAAATAATTAGGTACTGCGCTGTAAGGCTTTGATTGCAATATGTAGTGATTACAAAATACTGCAAAATTAAAAGGAACTCTTTACTTTTAGAGTCACTGGAATGATCAGAGAATTGAAAATTTACGATTTGGGAGAATTCTCCTATTAAGGCATGAACATAAAATAATTTTCCTAGTATACCTCAGCATGTAGGCAGCAAAGCTCAGGCCAGAATTATGAAGTCAGTTGTGAGTCCTCTGCGCAGTAATTCATCCTTCTTACCCGCACCTCAACATGCGTTTAAAAGGGTGAAATAAATGGATAAATCCCTTATTTGAACAGCCAGTCACAGAGCCTTGGTACAAAATGGCTGATTTTTTTACTATGAGAGGGCATCGTGCTCTAAGTAAGGCTATAATATATCCTAATGGACAGACATTTAACACTAGAAAAGAAATCAGCAAGCATGAAGTATTTTAACCATGCAACTTTTTTCCCTGTACTGTAAACAGTCCCAGCTAATTTCGTAAAGGAGCTTAAGACGTACACGAGCCAGGGCTTCAGAGTCATTGCCCTGGCCCATAAAGAGCTAAACCCAGGGGAGGATGCAGACGTGCGCAACCTGAAGAGGTAAGGCTTGTTACGGAGCTGCCCCATTTCTTCCCTTATCTGCTAGTTTGGACCAGCCTCAGAAGGGTCTGCCCAGCCCTAGCCCCAGCCCCTTCCCAGACTTTCCCCCCTTTCCCGACAGAGGAAGCACAGTGGCAGTAGCTGCACCATATAACACCACCTTCCTGGCAGATGGTGATTACACTGCTAATTACCCAATATGCTAATGCTCGTGTAAGGCTCACTGAGCTGAGTTTCAGAGGCTGCTGTCAAACAGTAATGAGAGCTGGTTATTGCGTTTCAATATGGCAACGAACTGGGACCGCAATAGGAAGTAACTCTGTGCGCTGCAATCTGTGGGCTTCAGCCAGCCCGCTCCTGCAAGCGTCCGTCCCTCTGTACACGCGTCTAGGCTGCCTCGCTCCTTCCTTGGGGCAGCGACGTAGAGGAGCCGCAGTCTGGCTGAAGCTGCAGAGATGTCAGTGCTTGCTGAATGCTTCGTCCTGAATTTGGCATGAGCTGGGTTTCCCTGCAAAGAAAGGGCATTTCCAGTTGAGTGCGGCTTCCCATCAACCCAAACCTGCAGGGAGAGCCTCACCCTCCGCGCAGTCCCCAACAACAGCGTGTCTGTGTTTCTGTCCTTGCTCTAAGAGAGGAGGCAGAGTCCGACCTGACGTTCCTGGGCCTCCTGGTCATGGAAAACCGCCTGAAGCGGGAGACGGAGCCTGTGCTGAGAGAGCTCGCTGCTGCCCGCATCAGGAGCGTCCTGGTCACAGGTGAACCCCCGGCTCACCCTGCCTGTGCAGCCCACCTGGCGCTCGCCAGCAGCAGCTCCGTGGCCTCCACCTGGGTGGTTGCGATGCAATGGCAGGCATTAGCGGTCTGCCTTGCTGATGTTGTTTGCAGGGGACAACCTTCAGACGGCTGTGACAGTAGCCAGGAGTGCAGGGCTCGTTCACAGGGCCAGCCGAGTCATCGTCATCGAGGCGAATGAGCCAGAGGGCTCCACTCCAGCTTCCCTCTCCTGGCAGCTTGCAGAAGACGGCAAGACAAGCGCAGCTGGGCCCAGTGTAAGCACAGCTGGGGACAGTTGCATTTGGGTGACAGCTGGAATTAACAAAGCTTTAAATGTGTACTAATCAGATGTGTCACCTGGACTCCTTGCTGGGTGTCTTGCAGCAGCTATGAGGAGGAGGGGAAAGGCCCGGGGGCTGGTTTATATCTGCTGCCCCAGGGTACGCAGAGGTATGATATGGCCAATTCACCTTTCAGGGAGAAACAACTAATACAGCGGATCTTTGCTCAGGACAATACTTAAAATAGCTATGTAAATAAATGCCTGTGCTTTGCAGATGCAGCGGCCGCTCCACTCACGCTTTAGGTGCACAGAATTCACAGAAATACTTGCCTGGGTGACTATTTTCTGGACCAAACTTCAGTGCCTAAACTAGCAGGGTTACGCGTTGTACCTAACAAATATTAATTACACATAGAAACGCACCTAGCAAACCAAGTGTTGCCAGGCTTGCAGAGTCTGGCACAGGGTGTTGCACCAGGCTGATCTCCCCGTTAGCCTGGTGGGAGGCTGCAGACGTGGAAACGAAGGGGCGTTTTGGAGCCCTGCAGCGCAGGGGCAGGCAGCAGAGCTGGGCGTATGGTGGCGGTGGGAGAGGGGGCTTACTGCGGAGCTGGGATGCTCCTCTGCCACCGCAAACTCTGAGTGGCCACAGCCAGGGCTAATCATCATCCGTGAAGGGGAGATGGCTCCAGAGATAGATCTGTCCCAGGCACAGCCCAGGCTGTATGCCTTCAAGATGTTGTGACTTCAGTCTGAGAATAAATGCTGTCTTATTTCTAGGAGATATGTATTAATCATGAGGAAAAGGTGATCTTGGAAGGAGAAACCTGTAACTACCATTTTGCGATGGATGGAAAGACCTATCAGATTATTACAAAGCACTTCTACAGCTTGCTACCGAAAGTAAGTTGGGAGGGAACAAAGCACTTGCTTTCCTCTCCCTGTTTTATTTGAATGGGAATTGTGTTCAGGCCACTCCTGCCTGAACCAGAAAGGTACTTTTCTGTCAGTACTTATCACACTGTTATTTTGCATTTTGACAGCTCAGGATGCTTCCCAACGTGTCTCAAGTTTCACCTGAACAGCTTGCTTTCAGCATCTGTTCTTCTGAGACTTCAAATGACAAGGTTAATTGTGGTGCTGTGAGCAGCTGCACCACTCCATGGTCACCTTCTCAATTTGAGTTTAATTAAAAAAATATCAGCCCATTTCCCCATGTACCACCACCATAGTTGGCAGTGGCTTCTGCTCAGCAGTGCATCAGAAACTTGAAATACTCTCATCTAGGAGCAGAAATCTTACTCCTGTCACCTAGTCCATAAAATAGCTAGAGACGGGAGAGATACTTTTTGGCCAGATTTTCAGGTAGGAAAAAACTCAGGCTTAGTAATACTCTGCCGATGTCAACCACTATCTGCTGTGCACTTGGAAAACCCTTAACTTTGCTACTCAAAAGGCTGTTGCAGAGCACATGGCATTCACTGTTTTCCCAGCACCTGCTATGGAAAGAGCAAGAAAGAAATCAAAGCATGATAAATCTGACCCTAATTTAGAGGAAACCCTAACTTCAAGGGTAGCAAAACCTTGGCAGGATTTGGGAGACAGAATTGGAAGATTTTAAGCACATATTGGACACCAGTCAAGGAGGGCTGATCCCGCCCCAGGTGAGGACAAGCTGACCTCTTCAGGTGCAACGCAGCCTGTGCCATGAACGCAAGCCTGAGGCCAGCCTGCTGCTCTTTCTTGCAGATATTACTGAACGGGACTGTCTTTGCTAGGATGTCTCCTGCCCAGAAATCCAGCCTTGTTGAAGAATTTCAAAAACTGAAGTAAGGTTTTGGGGTTTTTTTGTTATTGTTTAAAAAAAAACAGTAAAATGCTTTATTTGAAGTATAATTATACTAGCTAGTGCTGCTACAAACCCAGCTTTCTGATCCTCCTTTACTCCGCGTGCAATCCGCGTTCACATCCTTTGTGGTCACCTTCTTCTCAGTTTGCCTACAAGAATCCTACGTGTCAGGAGTAACTTTACCTGTCGACCAGTTTTAGCTGCTCTCCATTGCAATACAGTATGCAGCATTATCTGAGGATGAGATAAAAATATAGACCCAGGCTCTAGCACACACAAATACCCTCTGCCACCCCCTAGCAATTCCTGCAAAATGCCACTGAAAGTCAAGCTGCAGCCACAGGAACTACTGCAAACGTGCACACCCTGCTCCCTCTGGAATAAAATGGCGTTGTTTCCTTTCCTGCTATAGTCTCTTTCCAAATTTAATTCTAATTTTGATCTCTGTACCCTGCCTCAATCCCTCCCCATATGTGATTAACCCCGTGAAAGCAGCCTCCTTATTCTCACTGCATCTTTCTCCCTCAGTAGGGTGATGTGAGTACTGATCTAATACACCTACGCCAGTGAGTATCCTACTGCATGATCAAATAGTTGCATGCAAAGCTTATGTGTTTTTCTCTCTTTTTCCCCCGTTAGTTACTACGTGGGTATGTGTGGTGATGGAGCTAATGACTGTGGGGTATGTACAAGCTAATGTCCCATTCTTGTTAGAAGTTGCAGCTCATTCAGTATAGCGAGTACGGTTGCAAGGGGCTGTCCAAAAAACGTTTAATCGGCATTTTCCAAGTCAGCCTGTGGGTATGTTCAGTCAGCATGTCATTATAAAACACAATCTAGGTGCATTTTTTTTTTCATATTACTATACAAAAAAAAAAAAAAAACAGAGGAGTATTACTGTGTTTTTTCCTCCTGAAACTGGGGGCAGGAATACTTTTTTTTACACATTTGTTCATATTTACAATTAATCTGATTCGTCTGCTGGGACGAGAATGTAAAGCTGATGGCCTTAGTTAGAAAAATTATTATATCATCTATTATATTATCTATTATTATATACATAATGTAATAATATAATAACGTATTGGTTTTACAAAAGTTGCCCACAGCTCACTGCTGAGTACTAAATAAGAGGTGCTGAGGTCAGATTACTGGGAACTCATAAGAAAGCAGTAAAAGAAATACAAAGAGGACATTGAAAGGAATAAAAAGAAGAAAGAGGAAACGCTAATATAAATACTTTAACAGAAGAGGTATACACAAATTCCAGTTTGAGGGAGAGCCTACAGCATTGTTCAAAAGACTAAAATAGGTTTAATGGGATTAAGGGAAAAAAAGAGATATTTAACAAAAGAGATATTTCCTTCCTTGGGGAAGGAACATTATCTGGAAAATGAGATCAGTTAGGCAACAGAACAGAGGAAGATCAATTACAAAGGGCACTGAAAGCAAAGCTTGAAAAGCACCAGTAAACGTATGGCGTATGGCGCAGGGTGTGAGGGGTGTAAGGATGTCTCTCCATTTTCTTACTCCTGTGGATTTCAGGCTTTGAAAGTGGCCCATGCAGGAATATCGCTGTCAGAGCTCGAGGCGTCCGTGGCTTCCCCTTTCACGTCCCAAATTCCCAACATACAGTGTGTACCGGAGCTGATCAGGTAGGTTTGCCCGGCGCGGCTCCGGCGCAGCCTGGGCGCACTGCCGCCTGCCCGGAGCTCCCTGTGCCGAGCTGCTAGTGGCAGAGCACGGGAGCGAGCAGGATCCTGAAGCAGCTTGGTAGTAACAAAAATAACTTGTGTTCACTTATTTATATTTTTATGGCTATTTGTGCAAACACACACACACAGAGAAGGAGAAGGGGAGAGAGAGAGATCTGCCTGTACGTGTTTGCCTCAAGGATGTGGAGAAACCAAACAATTTCTCAGTACACACGTGAAATAAAGCAGTTTTTTTTTTGCTGGTGGTGGTGATGGGGTTTTTTGGGTTTTTTTGAATTTTTAAGTTCAAGGGCTGTGAGTGTTTTTGTATTTTTAGGAGAGCTTTGCCCATGCTGGCTGATTTTTTTGGAACAGGCACAGGAACAGAGTCACATGAAAAGGCAGGTGTTACAGTGACCACAGAATAGATTTACTTGTCATTACTCTAAAATGTTGACATCCACATACTGTACGTGGTCATGGAGCAGCCAGTAATAATGCCATTTAACTTAAATATATGCAGAATAGAAATGCACCTAATTCCCAAAAGTGTTGAGCAAATTAGTAATGAAAAAAATATGAAACATTAGCAATGAAAAAAGTAACAGCAGGCTAAGCTAGGTATTAAAATTGTAGCTGCAGAATAACGGCAAAGAAACAAAACACTGCTGACGAAGGGCTAGTTTAGTGGCTCTGCAGTATCTCAAGGCA